TATCTAATACTTTCCTGCAGGTTTGGCCTTAAGTTCGAGGTAGTGACATTTCTCTTCTAACAGAAAAGTAAGTCTCTAGCTTTTACCATCATGCCTCTCAGAAATTGCCAAGCTCTTTCCTTGTGTTTTAACAACATTCAAGTAAATGGGAGCAAAATTTTAATTATTTGGTTGAAGTCTTTCAGTACAGCTTTTTGCCTCAAACATAGTTTTACATTTGCAAATTTCATTTGGCATATTGTCTCAACAGCTTAAGATATGGACTCCACTTAAAAGATAGCTTGCCAAGCTTAAGAAAGAAGTGTGAAACAAAATAATCAGGCAATGAATACCAGCAGTGCCCATTGCTAGTTATTGCTGCCTTCCTGCTAATGTCTTCAGTGCTGCCATGCTTCCTCCCCTCCTGCTACTCTTAGAAATTAATTTTACATGGTAACTACTTGGCATGTTATGTACGTGGCTTGCCTTTGAGATATGCTAATGAAAAATAGCATGTAGTAAGTGTTTTGATAATAGAAACTAGTCTAAACTAGCATAAGTTAATGAGGAATGATTTTTTGAAACGGAAGATGAAAAAATAAGCAAAAAAATCAAGTGTGGGAAAAAAATCAATACACAGAGCATGGGCTGGTTTTTCTTTTTTCTTAACCAATTTCAAACACGTCAATAAAGAGAAAAAAAACGACCAAAAAAACCCCACAAAAATCAAACAAAACACCAACAAACCCCCAAACCAGAAACAGCAAACAAAAGAACAGGTGAAATAAAATAGGAGGAGCTCAAGAAAGAAAGAAGGAAAGAAAGGAACTGAGTAGGTAACCTCAAGTAGATGACACAGCTAAAGAAGAGCTGGAGGTCGCAGTCTAGAAAAAGTGGAAGAGGAATGAAAATAAGGGAAGGACAGGAAGAAAAAGCAGTAAAAGCAGCCCTTTTAAAAAGTGAATGGTGAAAATGAACCCAGAGTTGTACACTCATTTTACTTTCTATTACCCCCTACTGCCATTTTTTTAACTTCCCAAAGTTATCCTTGCTCCAACTGCCTGAACTAATTCCTGCCTAGAGCCACTAAGGTTCCAGGGGCTGAAATTATTCTTATCCTGGGTGTTAGCCAAATGCTATTTCAACAGGCTGCCTGCACCCTGAGTGCACACACAACCCTGTAACTCCTTTATGGCTATTGAAATACAAAGGGACACATCTGTATGGGGGTGGGAAGAAAATTAAGAATCAGGAATACAGGTGAAATCTAAACTCACATATACATACCCATTTCCTAAAGTTCCTGAAGAGCACCTTAAATTACCACCAGCAAATACTGCTGCTGAATCACATGGAATTCACCTGCTCCCAATGCATGTATGCAGATTCATACATCCTGAAGCAGATTCATACGCTGAAGCAGACTAAGTGTACAGCTTGAGATAAAACATCTAGGGTGAAACCAGGAAGCAAATGCACAACAACATCCCAACCCTGACCAATAATATAAAGTATCCACGGTTAGTTTTAAGCCAGCCTGGTCCCCTACAGGACAATATAAGCATCAGTGATAGCACAGCAGAAAGGGCTAGACAAGAACAGGAGAGCAAGACAAGTCAGTAGTTTGGGAATGGAGAGGGTAAATTATGCTAGCTTATTCCTGCTTTGAAAGCATTTGTGGAACTCCAGCATCTGACCATTTAATATTTGGCAATCTACTCTGAACTTCTATACCACTGAATAAATCTTTAGAAGATAATTAATAGCATTACTAAGGAACAGTAACCAAAACAGACTGAACAAGTATGTTGAGAATAAAAGGGGAATGGACAGAAAAGATACAGCTTCACAGTTTGATCTTTAATTCATTGGACTACAGAAGATCTGAAATCTCCAGAACATGAGGTTTGGGTATGCCCTGAGCTCTTCAGCACCCACGCAAAGCAGAGATGACCATGCCAGTGCCAATTGTTTCCTTACTGCTGGACAGGAATTTTTCACTACAGAAATGCTTTGAATTGTTTAATTTCCCTCTCTTAAGCCTTAATATTATGGGACCTTTTTGTCAACCTCAACAACTGGCTTGCTTAAAATTGCTACTGGAAGATTCGTATCTGTTTGTGTTTTTCTAAACACATATTTCAAAATACTTTAACCCTCATCACTAGAGCAGAACTGCAGCATCGAGTGCTTGTTCAAGTCAGGAAATTGCTGGCTTGGTCTTTACAAAACTGTTGCGAGTAGGTACTTGATTTTTCAATTCTAGCCTTCACAAAGGGCTATTTTAGCAATTCCATAGTAAACAAGAAATTTTACTTACTAAATTGTTTAAATTCTGTATAATTTTAAGTCCAAGGCATTAGCATTTTGCAATTCAAAGTTTTCAGAAAACATTTATGGAGTTTTACTTAATGAATCACCATTGTGACATTCAATATACAGTATTTTGCACTCATCAATTTAGAAGATGAAATCAGCATACGACTGAAAAGAACATTTAGTAACTCACAAGTCACCTATTCTTAGCATTTCAGCTTCATCACGGTGATTTTGTTCCACAAGATCCAAAATAAGATTCTGGGTCTTGTGCAGAAATTTATCTTAAAACCTTGCAGAACCTTATCATGCACACCTTGTCTGCAAATTTTAATACCTATGCATTCTAATTAGGAAGAAAAGACATACTCTGGTCTCACTGGTTTGAGATTAACAATCTCAAACTAAAAACTGACAACAGCAGTAAGAACACTACATTAAGCCCTAAATGTCTCCTGATAGACTAAACAACATTACAGAAACAACAAGACAGCTAAAGATGTCTTCCTAATAGTTGTTTTGCCCCTTACATTTTGGGAGGAAAGCTGTGAATGACCAAAGGCCATAACACACATCCCACAGAATGTGGGGCTACTGAAACTGCAGGCAAGTTATACTGGAAAATTTTCTATCACTCCATTACGGTAGGGTACATTGTATGAATGGGTAAAAGACTGCAACTGGTTCTTCCTCACTGAATGCCTGTTATCAGACACTCTGTTTTCCAGCCAGGGAGACAGGAAAATATAGCATATTCCAAGTTCAAGTCCCTGGAGAGCCAGCCAGTTGTTTGTTGCAAACTTCCCTCTCCAGCAAAAAATGTCATTAAGTGCAGCTAGAGTATGTTAAACACTTAGAATATTTTCCCTATTTAAACAGCTGCTGTAGCTGCAAATGGAAAGTTTCGTAATTTCAAACAATTGATACGAAGTATAAACAGAACATATAAACTACATTTTACTTCACAAGATATAGGAACCTCTGGGTTAAGGAGTTCTTTGTACACATATTGCAATTTACTGTCTTAGGTGTATATATGCATACAAGTTCCCTGACCAAAGCTAGCCAGTCCAAAAGCATTTGAATTATTTTTAAATAGTATAGCATATTGCAAAAATGCCTAGTTTGCATCCCATCGTTCTCTAAAGCTTCTTTCAGCATAAAGACTTCCCAGGATAACCATCTCCACTACAGCTGGATTCAGGATGCCCTGTTGTCTTATACGTTCCCTTGTCTCAGTTTTTGTTTTAGTATCAGCTCATAACCTCTAGCTGTTTTATTTCCCTTGGTATTCACATTCTTTCCCACATATTGATAGACCTTCACTACATATCTAACATCATCTTCTCTTTGAGATCACTAACAAAAAGGTTAAATGAAACTACACATAAAGCTGCATCTCCAAGTACCTATCCAGAATCCCAATCAGCCATCTCTCAAACCCTCTTTTCATGGCCTTTCATCCATCCTTTCATCTCCCAAACTAGGCTCATTTAAATTTGAAACAAGTGCAGGTACTGCACTATTTTTCTCCCCTCAAAGAAAAACTCTCCTGCCTCAGGAGTTTAAGCTGTGTATCAGTGCATAGCACCTCAGGCAGGAAGGACATAGTCAGAACACACTTGTCACTTCTGCATTACTATAAACGTTAGTTCCCGTATGGATGTAGACATCCACGATGCCTGCATTTTTTTTCAGTCTGAAACCCTTCCCCATTAAGGAAAACTTGTTTTCCATGCAAGGAGGAAAAAAATAAATAAATAAATTTGTACTTCAATACCATGAGGGAGAGCAACTCTGAGGCTGATTCTCACTTGACACCATAGAAATGTTAGTAATAGGCACCTTTCTGAAGAGATTATTTTTCCTCCCATGAGATGTTCTTCATTTACAAAGGCTACCCCACATCTCCACCCAGATATTCTAAATATAACCTACAGAGAAATTATTTTTACTCAGCTTTTATATTTTAGTACATATGAGCCTGAACAGAAACACAAGCAATATTAAAAATCAAACCCAATTCCATTTTTTCCTGCAGAAGAGGAATTAAATATTACTTTCATTCAGTTACAACTATGATTCTTGAAGAAGAAAAGTAGGCTTGTTTCTAAAAGGGATGTTCCCGACTGCATCTAGGCTGTACTTCCAAAAGCAGTATAATTTAAAGCACATAATACTGGTCATTCCTAAGAAACAGTTGCACTTAAATTTCTTAAAGAAATGAAAACAGCAGGCAGACTGTTTCTGTCAGGGACACAATGAGTATGGATTGTTCTAACCAGGCTTGACCAACACACACATTCATCCTCTATAAAAACAAATAAAAAATCCCACAGAATAACCACAAATCTACAATGTTACCAGAAAGACTAACTAGCTTGGGCTGCTTTAAAAGAAAGAAATGTTCAGATTAGATGTAGAATCATACAAAAGAAAGCACACATGCTAAAGGCAGTAAGTACAATAGTATTGATAACAAAGTATTGCAGAAATGCAAACTACTTAAAAGGGGTTTGTACAATCAATAACTACATAAAGCTGAGGTAACTCCAACAAGAAATTCTTATGAAAACAGTACACAGAAATAAAAATATCTGAGGTGTCCAGTATTGATATGATGACTCAAAGACAGGATTGTTTTTTCTGTGGCTTTACTACTCTAATGACTAATCCCATTCCATTAAAAGAACAAAACAAAATACCTTTTTTTGATTTTGCTCCAATCTTCAACTTTGATGGCCAAGCAATCTGTGTATTTGTTTCTTCCATAATCTGTTGGAAAAAACATGAAAAATTATGTTTTTGTTGCTTTACCACAGTGTCAAGAGTTCATTTTTGGAAAACATTATGTTCACAATTTTAAAATCAGTTCATTATTACTACTTCTAAACAGAAGAAGTCATTAACTACTTTTCTGGTTTTCCTGAGAAGAATTTTCCTCTGGTGATAGGTGGAGCTGAGTTCTGATCAAAGGAAAATCAAAGAGAAAACCAAAGTCACTCAGCAGTTTCCATGAGTCCCAATGAGTGCTATTAGCTGCAGAATGCTCTAGGTCCATCTCAGAGGGAATAACAAAGCTCTATAATTCAATAAAAATATTTATTCCATTCTCTTAAAAGTGCTTCTAAGTAAAGCTTAGCAAATTTAAATCAAGTCCTTTTGAGCCTTCAGAAGTCAAGAAGCATTGGTTTGCCTTCACAGGTCTCAGGTTCCTTTGTCTCACCTTTACCTGGAAGCAACTTTTCACTGTGAGCATCGGTTGACGTCACTGACTTTGAAACACACGCACACTCACACTTAGAAATCCATGTAGTCATTTGGCTCCATGTAGTCTCTCACTCTGTTGCCACCTTCATTTCAGTGACTACATTCACTAGCCATAGGCATATCAGACTGAAATTTAATAATGGTACACAGTTACAGAGCATCACTAACACATTAATTAGTAATACAGGAGAAGGAAATGAATGACACCAAAGACATGAAACTCACTTCTAAGAAATGCTGGGCCTGTCTACTGAAACTACAGCAAAGTAGTAAATTTTAGTACTTTAAGTCATCTATAGCAGGTGTAAAAAATTAATTTTCCAAAATAAGTAACCAAATAACTTCCAAGAAGAGAATGAGTACATTAAGAAAACAGCTAGAATACCAATAAGTTTTGCATAATAGTATAATTCAGAACAAAGGCAGTCTTCTCTAACAGTTCTTCATTCTTATCTTCTACATGCAAATCCCTAGGACAGCACAACAACTTACAAATTAGTACTCCATGTGGAAAAACCAAGTGCCAGCCAGGCTTCACTATACTGCATTTCTAGTTTCAGCATAATAACTTGGTTTCATATAATAAGTTACAGCTGAAATAAGACATTTCCAGGAGGGTGAAATTCTATCAGCAACATACACATACTTTTAACTTTTTTCCAATCCAGATGTGAAAAAGCCTATTCCAATGAATTCACTTGTGTCTGATAGCGGGCTTTAGGCCAGGATTATCTTAATTGTACAACAGGCAATGAAATCCACAGAAAACAGGAAGGCATTCCCTAAAAGGAGAAGGAGATCATACAACAAAGAAGGGTGCAGGACTGAGTTAAAAAAGATCCAACATAAAAGGAACCACAAGAGACAGAGGAGTGAATGTCATTCAAGACAAGTGCTACATCCATTAGTCCTTTACCCTCTCAAAGTTTGGAGAGTTTTCTCATAAAGAAATTAAATCCTCCCTATTTCTCATTCTAAACCAAAACAAAATGAAAATGCACAACTTCAGAGATGCACACATTTTGGAGACATAGAAAAGGATGCATATGAAATCTTCAAAGGAGAATTTGTCTCACTGCCAGCCACTACCTAATCTTGAAGATGTTAGGAGAAGACAATGCTAAGTTACTATATTAGACCAAAAAGAAGACTCAGTTTGGTCATTACAAAGGCAAAGTTTTTCTCTTGTCTAAAGCAGTTCAGGAAAAAAAAAAAAAAAAAAAAAAAAAAAAAAAAAAAAAAAAAAAAGTCTAGATGCATTTAAATTAAGTGTATTTATTGAAACATAAAAATACTCAGAGTATGTGTTTGCTTTGAACTCCAAGCAGTAAACTTTGTCATAAATTCCAAGCTGATAGCAATAATAAAACTTCTTCACAATTTCAAAAACCATAGCTTATATAGGAAAAGTAATAAGTTTTGCTGCAGCACTTATTTATTCCCCAGTGAAAATAATTTATCTTGCCTATAAAACAACGTGAGAATTTTAACTGCCAAAAAAAGGGTCTGCAAAGTAAAGTAACTTCTGATGCTATTTTGGGGGTATTAAGGCTTTCACAGGAACCCTTAAGAAGAGTTTAAACTATATTGCCTGCTTTGTAAACTACTTATTTCATTATCTCTGTATTGTATTTGTTGTAACAGCAGAAATGCCACAAAAGGTTTATACTAATTAGTACGCTCCTCACCTTGAAGGATCAATGGACTGAAAGAAGGAGCAGGCACGTCTGGCAGCAAGATTTAATCACACAGTAAATAATCTCATGCTGCAGTTCACAAAATGTGGGAAACCCCAGAAAATAATTTATCTACATCTTCTCTTCTACTGTCCCCAAGAGAAACTGTCCTGTTTACGTAGCCAAAATATGTAAGTAATTCTCAGGAAGGAATATACAGAAGATGACACAAGATACCAACAGAATAAAAAAGACTGTGCCCTGACCCTGAAAAAACTGTCTCTAGTTGCAAGTCATTGGGCCTCCAGCTGTAAGGCAGCTGGAGGAAAAGTGTTTGGTTTCCTTGTATTTCAGCTTGAAAAAAATATAGCATAAAGCACTTTGGGGAGTTTTTACATTAAGACAGTAACAAGTTATTTGCCCTTACATTGTAATTTTTGTTTAGCTGTTTTTGGATGGAAACTGGAATGTCCTGAATATATTAAAAAAATCCAACTAGCCAAAACTCCTCAAAAGCCCCCTGAGCATTTCAGAATTCAAAGAAAACATTTTACATGCAGGAGATGAAACAGAACAGCCTATCAAACAAACCTTTCTTCATTTAAAACAAACACATCAAATTACAGCAGTATTCTTGACAGTCAGTGTTGTTATAAACTTATCTATTTCTGATCTTCCCACCCTTGGGTGGGATGTGCATCTTGGCCATTTCTGCCTCAGCTCTTATTCACAGTGAAAGGAAAAGAGTAAGAGAAGAACTTGCACCTGCCAGTGGATTTCTGAAAATGGTTTTCTCAACTTTAGCTCAATGAGCTCATTCCAACTGAAATAACAAAAGTCACTCTTAAAACTGCAAGCGTAACTGCCAGAAGAAGCCAATTTGTTATTTCATCAATGGAAAAAAACCCAGCTTTCTTTCAGTGTGAGGACTAAGATTCCTGGGTGTAACCTTGCTTAACGCAGCAGAAGATACACACCATTTTAACATGCAGATTACATGAATAAGCATAGATGTTAAAAACCTTATAAACACATTTAAGTTTTATTTTTTAAAAAGATGCTTGTTTATCTATATCTTTTTTCAACATACATAATACCAGGTTTTGTATCGTACCCTGAATTTTTCAGGCTGTTAAAACTCTTGAAAGCAATGAAGATCAACATCATCAGTGGCATTTAGATGGTCCAACATATGAGGTACTGCAGTGATACCTTATTATCAGTTATCAAACAATGCAAATCCTCAGAAAGTACTTAAATTCTTTGCTACTCAGAATACTTCAGGGACTAGCCTCAATTTCTGGTAAGCAAACTGCAAATTCGGCCAGAACACCTGGTTGCAAACAGTCAAAGCTGAACATCCCACAGTTTTTTAGCTTAAAAAGACCCACAACAGTCCAATAAAATCCAGCATGCCTTGTAAGCAGGCCCCTAAAATTTCAGTAAGTGAAGCTAAACCAAGCAACTAACTTCCATTTTAATTTGGCACCAGGAAATAAGTTCCCCAAATCCTCTCCCAAACAAGGGTAACTACCTTTAGCATTCATAACATCAGAGACAAAGCTACTTCTCACAAGAGTTGACTGTAAAAAATAGGTGGAGCACACCAGTTTGGTAATTTGGTAATTAACAAGAAAATTTAGCTGAACAACTACAGGTAATCATATCCATGAAGTTAAAAATCATTGTCTCTGAGGAAGAATAAAATACAGAATAAAGCAGCAGAAGCAGATGAAAAGCAGGGAAGGGAATCAAGCAATGATTCTAAATTAATTCATCCTTCTAACAGTGATCCAAGTTCCCATTGGGGTATTGGGGGCAGGTTTTTCTCCTCCAGCAGGTTAAGTGACACAGCAAAAAAGGACACCTGAGGGAAAAACTTCTTGGTTTTCACTCAGAAACTGCCTCTGAGTGCAGACCAAAAAAAGTTACCACAAAGCATACAATCAAGATAGGGTCCATATTATATTCTGAATTATCTTTAGAATCACTCATGTCATTCTCAACCCTGCACGTACACATCTCACAGAAAGAGCATTTCTTCATATAAAATCATCTTCCAGCAAGACAAAAAGGTGTGATCAAGTAAGATGAGATTTTTCCAAGCAGTATGAAGTTTAAAATTGAAAAAAGTCTGATACAGTGTAATGTAACGAGTCAAGGGGAAAAGCAAATTGGGACGGAGGGGGAAACTGAATTACAAAAACAAAACCACACTCCGGTATGGGACAAAATATAGATGGCTGAGCAGCACGCACCTGTAGCCCTCCCCTCAAGAAAACAAAAACATTGCAAGGATTGAGTTCTTCATCAAGCAGATATTGGGGAGGGACTGGAAATGCAGAAAAGAGTGTTCACTTATATTCTGTGAACACAACTCAGCGCAGCAAGTATAAGGGCACTAAAGAATTATTATTTGCAACATGACCATCTGGAACTTCTGAGCCAATTGCATCTGCAAGTTCAAGATGGCTCAGTCACCATTTTAACAAAGCAACAATAAATATCTCTTTCTCCACTGACAAGATAAGAGCTATGAAGTGCTTGTAGCCAGAATCAACACCCACCACATTTTATTAAGAAACAAGTGCTTTCCAGTGTAAATATGTACTGCTAAAAATTGCTGCAGAGGAGAAAATCCCATGTGTGAGGGTACGATGAAGACAGAGAAGGACAGAAAGGATTATAAAAAGCATTATTCATGTTAACAGAAATTCTACAAGTAGACGTTTGCTAAAATTGTTTTGAAGATGAAACTCCATCAGGTTTAAGAAAACACAGTCATTCTTAATGAATTACCACAGATTGATAAACTTACGGAGGATAACT